GCTTTGCCTTCCACTTACCCTGAATATGGTGGTGGTGGAGCATCGTGCTGCCCACTGTGATTCAGGGCATCGTTGTAGCTAGGCAGACCTGGTACAGTGATCCCACCTAGGGGCACCATCTCCGGAGCTGATGTATGCCCATCTACTGCAATTTGTACTGGAGGTCTGGAACAGCACACAGCACAACACGCCAATTTTAAACCCCTTTAGTTGCTGTATTGCTAACAAACAAAAATAAAAACGTGAAAATGTTTATACACTATATTGCCAAAAGTATTTAGTCGTCTGCCTGTATTTGGTCATGTAAACAGGGCTGATATCCCATTTCTAATCCATGGGTTTAATATGATGTCGGCCCACCGTTAGCAGCTATAACAGCTTCAACTCTTCTGGGAAGGTTTTCCAGAGAAGGTTCAGGAGGTTTCGACCATTTTTCCTGAAGCACATTTGTGAGGTCAGACACTAAGCATGTGCCCTGCCTTAGGTGCCACCTATTCCTAATCCTTATATGTATAACTGAGTGATTTGCATAAATTAGTGCTATTTCTTAAATTTGTAAAATCTGTGACAAATTGTATTGTTTAAATTTTTTAGTCTGTTAGTGTCTTGGAGCAACTGTAACCTACATCATTTCCTTAGTGATCAATAAAGTTTTCTGATTCTGGATGGAAGATGAACAACTTTAATAATTGACCAACGCGTTTCGGCTTGTGACCCTGATGAAGGCCACAAGCCGAAACGAAACATCTTCCCTTAAGTGTTGCTGGAGTTCCTGCTTTGTGAATTCTTTCATCCTCTCCATGCACCTTGGAAGTAGGTGAAGTTGTGCCAGAAATCTTTGCTGTGATTCTGGTACAGCTGACTCTACTCACCATTAAAGCAAAAGTACTTAGGTCCAAAAAAAGGAGAGTTCTAGTCCCAGTGAGCTTTGATGGGGTGACTGTAGCTCAGGAGGTAGAGCAAGTCATCTAGTAATCAGAAGGTTGGTGGTTCAATCCCTGGTTTCTCTGGTCGACACATAGCCACATATCCTTGGACAAGATACTAACCCCAAGTTGCTCTCTGATGCATCCATACTATGGATGTGAGTTCTGTATTTTTCTGTCATTTAAAGTTTTTTGACTTGCTTCAATTTTTAGTGAGCCATACCTGGGTTTTGTTCTTTCATTTTTTAAGGTGACAGTGGTTTGTCCGTCTCTTTTGGTTTAATTACTAATAAAATATTAATAAACTTTAATAAACATTTCTGCCTTCATGTCTCCTTTTTTCAACCCGGACACTTTGTGTTACTTTCCCACATCCCCTGGACCTTTAAGGGAAAAATAACAGTAAATAATTATAAGTTTGCACAAACTCTGGATTAAGATTAAGGGATTAATATTGCCTTCTTGTCTACTTTGTATTTTTTTTAATGGTCTACTGGTTTTTAAAAGACTTTACTGGGAAATGTTACTGGTGTCAGTTAGGGTGTCACTTTGTTCCACATTGCTCTGTTACCAAATTATCCACATCGGGGTAAACTTACCGGCCAGACCTCCGTGCACCCTTTTTCTTGGCTTTGTAACAGTACACTCCCAGCACCGCGACAATTACAGCAGACACTAGTACAGCCAGGATCCCTGCCACCAGACCTGACACGTCCAGTCTGTTTGTACTACCTTCAAAGACAAACATCATCACCTCACTCAAAAAACGTTTCTTCAATAGTTCTCATGTTACTCAGTCAGACAATCTGTAGCCAATCACCACAGCAATGACTTCAATCGTGATACTGTTGTAGGTTTGAAGACGTAGATAATACAGCAAAATTGGAAAATATACATTGAAACACACAATCAACAAAAAATAGCAATATGGAAAAAAGAAACTGTCGTCCCAACTACTACAAAAATACATTCATCATTATTGTGCACATTTGAACAATGAAATGAAAAGGTTAGCATAGTAATGCTAAAGTATTACCTTGATTGGTGTACGTTTTCCAAAATTTTTCCTAGAAATGGAAGCAAATGAGGATTAAATGAAGAGGTCACCTTGAATAAGTTAAGTCAAATCCCTCAAATACTAAGAGAAAAGGTTTTGTATTTTGAATATTTAAATAAAAAACATGTATATTTAGGTGATAAAAGTGTAAATAACTGTTAAATTAAACTGATAGTTTTTCATTCTAAGACTCCAGATTAAAAAAGGTTCTACAGTCAAAGAAGAGTCACCGTCTTCGCATTGTCCTCAAAAATCTCTCTGGCTTCCTCGTAGTTGCAAATCTCTTCCATGCACTCCCTCTCCATATCACCAGGCACAACCAGCTCAAAGTCCCAGCTGTTATAGAGCAGTGAACGGGACAGGAAGGATGCAGCTTCTGTCTCATCCACCAACACTGGATCTCCTACAGGGTGTAGTTCATTGTCACTGATAATCAAAAACATAACTCATACGGACATCACAAGTCAAACTCTCTACTCTGCTGTCTAAGCTCCAGATTTCCTGTAGTATCTCTGACCCCTCTTCATGTGGAGAGGGATGCATTCTCAAATTTACTCAGGGAGCTTCAGCCATCAGACCCCACCAAACACTCCTCAGACAGTGGGGTACTGGGCTTTTCTGTGATTCTGTTTAAAATCACAAAGCTGGTTTTGACTGCTCCGTCCCTGGATGAGTAACGCTCGGCAAAAAGTCCTTGTCGCCTTCGAGCTCAGATGTCCATTTCTGCTCTTCGTTAGTCAAGTTCTTGTATTCCTGTGCGTGCTCAGTCTAGTGATGGTGATTCAAATTGTAATCCTTAAAAACTCTTGTGCTCTCCACAAACAAAGCACACGATTTTACCTTTGACTTCAGTAAACAAGTACTTATAAGTGCATTTCAGGAGCTCCAAATTCACATCTCTGATAATCGGTTCCAACACATTTACAGTGAAGCGGCATTTTCTTGCACACACATATGTAAATGTTAAAAAAAATAGCCGTCAACAACAACGTTGTGTTATGATTTCACACAAAATCACAAAAAACAAACAGAAAAAAAGTGAAAGCTGAGAGTGTTTGGTGGCTGAAACTGGACAAAACTGGATTATTTACATTTGAATCCTAATTTTCTGTGGAGGTCCATCATGGACCTACTTTAACGCCAACGGGAGATTTTCAATGTGTTAGCAGTCTCCCTATCATTAGAAAACCACACAACTTCTAAAAATGTATATTATGAATTATAATTGTAATTATTATTATTATTAATGTTGTTGTTGTATATTTCTGAAACTTCTGATCTAATGAAGTTATAATTCACACACACGCTCACGAAATGAGACCACAGAAGATTAGAAAATGCTGCCTGCTGTGATAAGTCTTCTGCTGCAACATTCAGATGTAGCGTGGTATTAAGGTATCTGTGAAAGATCCTTTCAGGATTCTGCTTCCTGTGGTGCTCGGTGCTGTGGGACTGTTAGTTCCAGCTGACCAACGTTTAGTTTCACGCACAGCCTACCTGGAGATTCATGCTGACAACCACAACCACTCCAGTGGAGCATCTTAGCGATGTGGGGGAATGAGACATTTGTATTGTGGATGAACAACTGTGTGATGCTAATGTTTCCAATACTTTTTTCAATCGGTACCACAAACAATCCAAGTGAGCTGTGAACGCCGAGCGTACTAGAAAGATAAACCTAATGTGAGTCATACAGGGAGGTAGGATGGAGTGATTGCCTTTCTCCTCCTCACGGCGCCCCTGCTCATCACCACTGTGTTTGTGTGCTAAAAGAGAAATCACTTCCTTGTAATGAAAACTGATTCTGAAGTACAACTGCACCAGCTCATCTACACAAAGCAGAATGTATATATACCGTATATATATTTGTAGATGGTATAGCAGCCGTGGCCGTTTGTCTTGAAACTCTGTAATCTTCACATTTCAAAATTTTGACTTTATTCTCACAATAATGTTTTGCTTTTTTCTTAATGGGGCCCTAATACTCCTTCATAGGAAAGGCAGTGGTGCTATATAGAATTTGTTTTTATTGTTATTTATTCTAAATTCTGCTATCAAGGAGCTGCTTCTAATTTCACTTAACATCTGATGTTTAATGTCAATAAACTACTCGGATTCACAGAAGAACAGTTTGGTTTTCCTCTAGTCGTCCTGTTGTTGCAAGGCACGTTTGTGTAACTGAAGCTCGGCACCTCACATTACCACAAATTATAAAGCACATTTTTATGAAGTGACAGGAGACAGGTGTGGGTTACCTGGTTGGTGTCTGTAGGTGACGGAGCAGTGGGCCATCTGCACGAGGGACAGTCCGTTCATCCACAGCAACAATAATGCTGCTATCGAAGCACAAAACTACACAGAAAGAAGTGCAAGAGCACCTGTGAAAACACTTGTAGTGAGAAGCCCGAGTATGAACATGATCCTCCAACACTGACCTGTCCAACACAGCTGCTCCATTTGGCTCCAGTTTGTTCCATCTGTCAAAGCTTTCTTGAAGAAAAACAAACGGATTTCTCTTGGTTTCACCAAAAACAGAGCTAATAGTTATTCCACTTCATTGCGCACTTTATTGCGCTGAGAGGATCAGGAAATAATAAACCTGTCGGACAGCATTGCACCTGGAGGAAGGAACCTCCACAAACCGGTTTCACTGTTTACTCAAAATATGCGGTCTATGTCCAACCTGAGGAAACATGTCCAACAGACAAGCAACACACATCTGCCTTGTAACTATAGAAGCGAGTGTAGAAACAGCCTTTAACCTTAATGACGAGTATCTAGGACTGCCGTGCCAAGCTAGGGTATCCCCCCATCCCCTGCGTCGGGAGCGCGCACAGGGCAGGGAGCGCGGTGAAGTTTTACTGAAACAAACACTGTCGGTACGTCACGGCAGGAAATGATACATTTATTGTTCTCATGTGGATTATTTCAACAAACCGAGGACGGATAATCACGTCTGCGTGGACTCTCAGCGAGTAAACCCCGTGTTCGTCTATAGAAACACGCCTTGTTTGGCCATATTTTACATATGTGATCATCACTTTGTTAACCAACAACATGCAGCTCCAGTCATCGCTTGTAACATCAGCTCCAAAACGCCACGGCAAAAACCACAGGGTGACGTCACCTGTCTGTGGGCGTTAGATTCATTAACAATTAATTACCATATACATATTTTAAATACCAAATAATGTCAGACAATATTTTCACGGCCTTTAAGGCGGATAAATACAACAAAACAAAATGATACGACCAAGATAAAAACTGTGATATTTTGAAAATATCATAATAAACGTGAATTCACTGTGTAATTTTTTTAGCAGCGTCCTCCTGAAGTGCGCCAACAACACTGAGAGTAACGTCCTCCTCTCTGCCCCTAATGCTCTCTGGTCTCTATGGTAACACGTAAATATTTCTTTCAAAATAAGACACAACTACAACACGTGAAAGACCCAGGGGAACCGAGTTAACGAGAAAAACCCTGAAAACCATGAATTTCACACCCGAGCCTCAACTCTCGCGGCCCGGTACCAAACGACTCACGGACCGGTCCGTGGCCCGGGGGTTGGGGACCACAGAAACTCAACAAAGAGTCCAGGCCATTGTCCGCCAAGCTAAATTGGCCATCCAATCCAAATGGACGGTACATTTAAAAGCTACAAAGTGCTGCACATGAAACATGGGCTTACACAATAATGGTCATGAGCGTAGATGCAAAGGCAGCTCTTAAGTGTGTAGAATAAAGTGCTATATATGTGTGTATAAAGAGTGAAGGTG